CCATTGTAATGGTGCACTTTTCGCCATCTCCACCGCCTTCATACTAGAGTTGGTCATCTACTTTGCTTTTGATCCATATCTTTACTTTTTAAGCTTTGCTTTATTTATGCATAGATTGAAAACAATATACGATTCGAGTGTGGGGGTGTGTTTAGCTTTTAGGTTTTTATTTTTATTTTTTAATGAAATTTGTGTGTTTATTTTGTACCCTATATAAAAAATATATATGAAACAAATTCCATGTTTAGTATGATATTCTTCTTAATTGATATTTGATGTTAAATTTAATAAAAATTTGATGAGATGAATGAAAATGTTTGGGATATTATTCCTATAGAAATGCATGCATACTAGGTGGCTTTATGTGTCTTCTTGAAGGAATATAATTTAGGTAGAAATATTAACTTTGAAAGAAAAGCAAACCCTTTAGACACTAGACCTAAGCATGGTTTAAATAAACAAGATTTTCTAATTTTTATGAAAAGCATTATCTTAGAAATGTGGCCAAAGTAATTAAAATCATTACTCCAATGATTTGAGTTGCTTAATAACTAGGAGTATTGATTACAAATGTTTACTTTTACATCAAATAACAATTCAAATTATGAGTACGTAAAGCACTCTAAGTTGATGACCTCGCTAAGTAATTAGTTACCTTCATCACAAATGTCGATAGCGCATAAAAAGGCAAGTGACCACTAAGGAAAATTCTATAAAGACCATGAAATGAAAAAAGAAGTTGGAAAGCTTAAAATCAAAAAGTTTTGATTAAAGAAAATCTTTTTTTATTGCCTTACTTTTAGTGGTGAAAAGGGGTAAAGGTAGAGTTAGTGTTGCATGCTTGAATTATGTTTAGTTATGAAGATGCATAAATTAATTTAGCAACGTGTATTCATATGATAATAATATCTAAAACATGATCAAGTTGACTATTGGGTTTTGTTGAATTTTTAGTTGAGCATCAACATTTGAAGAAAAATCATATTGGTATGACATTTGGTTAAGTGATTTTGTGGGTTTATTATTTGAAAACCCTCACGAGACACTACTCTTCCACTAGGAGTAACCTAGGTGTTTAAAATATTATTGCATATGCTACATGCAACCATGATTCCTACGAAAGTGAGTTAGCTTTTGTTTTATTTGTTTTTCTCGAGGTCTAGCAAAGTTTAAGTGTGGAGCTATTTGATGAGTGTATAATTAATTATTTTTATGCTCTAATATATTAAACTTTCTAGTAATTATTATATAATATTATGTTGCCTAACAACAAGATGACAGCTTTGGGTTTCGTTATAAAATAACAATCAATCAAAATAAGGAAACCTCAAAACCTAAAAATTTCAAAGAGACTTAGAAGAGTCACACATTCGTGTGAAATTACAAAAGAAGTAGCTACCGGCATGTGACTTGAAGGAGGAAACCAAGTGGAGTCTCAAGCTTGGAAAGCCACACGGGTAGAACCACTTCCACACGGCGATAGAAAGCATTCTACATAGTCGTGTGGTTGATTAAACTTAGAAACATTCCAGGGAAGAAGAAGACCATATGGGTAGTAAGCATGTTATACAAGTTTACAATGTAAATCAATATGCCTATGTGGCTAAGGAAGAGATGGTATACACGAAAAAAGATTTTTTACACGGTTTGTATACAAAGTTACATAGCAATATGTAACTTAATTTCCAAGGCTTCAAACTAGGTGATATCAAGCAACGAAACCATGTGACTTTATATATCAAGTCGTGTAACAATGTAATGCCGACAAAAAAACTAATGTAACCCTAGTTTTTGGTATAAATAGCAAAGGTAGGGTATTATTTGTTTTTTTCCCAACTAGCCCTTCTGCAACCACCATGAATAAAAATTCTCTTTGCATACATTTTGAACAACTAAACTTCATTCTTGGTAGGATCAAGTTGAAATTTTTGGTTAATCACTATAAGATTACCGGCTTTATTTCTAAACTTATCTCTATTAGGTATTTTATATTTTTCTACATGATTGATTCATAATTATATGATTAATTCAATTAGAATGAACACTAGTTATTTGTTCATATTTCTTATTGCTAGCTAAGTATTCAAGTCCATGTAATTACTTGTCTAAACTTGCTCGTGGTAGTAACTAGGGGTTGATGATTAGTGATGTTTTCGTTCAATTCCTAGGAAAACATAGAATTAGGTTACATCTTCTTTAACGCTTAAGAAGGTGGCTCAGCTCCATTTATCTTTCTTATCTTAATGCTATTATTAGATTAAATCTATCTAACGCTTAGTAGGTTGTTCAATAGCTAGACAATTAATTAGGTATCGTATATGCAATTAACGATTAGGTAAGAAAAGATTGGAGTCAACATACATGTTATTGTCTTATAGTGAATATTCATGTTAAGATAATTTAATTATTTAATCAATGATCGGTGATCAAATCAAAAGTGAATACCGAAGTTCAATTAAGGCTACTCTCATACTATTATCTCTTACTATGTCATATTATTTTCAAGTATCTCAAATACACAAAACTCCCCTTTTACACATAAGAATGCCAAAAGAAATTTATTGATTACCTTTCCTTATGGGTTCGACCTAATTATATAATCGTGATTAAAAGCTCTATAAGGACCATATAAATTACTAATTTATTGGCGGTACGATACGCCATTAGTTACTTGAACACTACTAGCTTTTAACTCTTCTTTCATCTTCTTCCTCCCCTTTTATATCCATGGTTTTCCCTTTAGATTAAGACAAGGATATCACATTTGGTTTAATTTTAAGGTTAGTTATTAATGGCTCATATATTTTTCTTATTCTTTCTCATTTTTTCTTCCACTTTTTTCTTATATATTTTCTCTTATTTCTTCCCTCTTTGTCGCCTCTCTTCTTTTCCTTTTCTCCCTAATTTTTCAGAATTCTCTAGCCAATAGTTACCCCTTATAATCAATTAATAAGTACCCCCAAAGATTAACACTTTACATTTTAGTCTTCAAACTTTTAATCTTTATAATCGGACCCTCCAATGTCAATTCATAACTTTACAATTTTCCTCAATTTGGCCCTTGTCCTAGACCTTTTTCAAGGATAATTGCAGACCCTAAAGTTGCTTTATTATTTTAATCCACACAGTCCAAGTATCCACATGAAGCACTAAAAGTCCGTAGGGTGCTAGCTCCACCTTTTTTTATTTACTCGTTTTCTATACAAATTAATCCCGTGCAATTTTGCAATAACCTTAAAAGAGAAGAAAAGAGTTTGGCTTGCTAGGGTTTTTGGAGAAAACTATTTTCTCCTATTTTTCTGTCTTGAAGTACCTAAATTTTTAATTTTTGTGATTATGCCCCTAGGTTTTGCAATTGCATCCCAAGGTTAAAAACATAACCACATCAATTAATGGTACCAATCTCTAACTCAAGTCTTACTCATTCCATTAATCTATCCCTTTAATCTTTTTTTTGTTTATTTCATTCTTAATTAAAGTTTAAACTTTATTCCTCACATTTAGTAAGCATATTTTTATTAATTAAATAAAATATTTTTTTTTACAATATAGTAATATTTAAGAAGGATTTTAGATTGGGAATATTAGAATTTAACATAGTATAAAAAATAAAATAAAAAACTCAAATAAAAAAGCCTATATATATACTTGTGAGTTGCATAAGTTGAATCTTGTTCAACTTAAAGAGTGGACTCTCCACCGAACTCTTCTTTATCATATATTTTTCTCCACCAAACTCTCGTTGTTATTTATTTATTTTTTTTCCTACCAGAATCGAGAGAACCTCTTTTTATTTATTTATTTATTTTATTTCATTAAAAAACTGTTAGTTTTCTTTTTGCAAATTGAAGACAAAAGTGAAGGAAGAAGATAAAATCTAGAAGTAAAAGGGCGGGATAACAAAGAGTTTTTTTTTTCTTTTTTCTTTTTTCTTTCCAAAACTCAAAATAGGAAAAACAAATTACATGTTGAAAACTTAAGACATGGAGTGGTTTAATCTAGTGCCTCATATATATATATATATATATATATATATATATGTATGTATTACAAACTGTGTAAACTATTAAACTCTATGAAGGTTTTTTCTCCATAATTTTCTTTTGGTCTAGTGTAAGAAAGGGTCTATATATATAAATAAAATCAGAATTTTTTTTTATCAATAATAAATATTTAGTAATTTGTAATTTATAAGATACATTGTTTTCAAAATATTAATTCGTAATAATTTTTTTAAAAAAATTGATTATCCCTAGCAAGTATGATGCATGCAAAAATTATTATTGTCCATTAATTTTAGAATAAAAAAGTAATCAAAATTAATATTCCATTATTAATAATTTAACCTATTTACCTTCATGTTAATTTTCAATTAATTACATTTTTATTTCAAAGTTGACATCGATTTTTCTACATAACTCAAAAGTCTACTTGTTTATATATATATATATATATATATATATATGAGAATAAGCACATCGCATGATTTATCTTAATCTTTTCGTTCGCATCTACATAAATTTATAATTAAATTTGAATTAATATAATTTACTGTTCAAAATTATGTCTACACACAATTAAAAGAAATAAAACTTAAATCATCAAGTAGAAAATAATTGGGAATGGCATGTCGATTCTAATGTCATTTACTTGTGCAACTTAATTTTTAAAGTTGGTTGATTTCCGCCTTCTTCTACAGTATTTAATTACTTGAGCGTTTAGTTAATTGTTTATTGATCAAAATTAGAGATATATATAGGTAAAACCAAATTAAATTCAATCATAAAAACACACATTATATTAAATACTAAATATTTTTATTTTATCCATTTAATATAAGCTAATTAAGAAATTAAAACAAGTTTTGTAAACAGACCTGCAGCAATATACGGCTCCATTAACTATTTATTCAAATTATACAGTAAAACATTCAGCACTGGATCCATTTAGGTGCCAGTATAACTTGGAAGGACCAGTTCTCTACTTTGTCGCCCGGTTTTTCAGGTATTCCCACGTTTGTTTCTGAGAAAATGAACGAGTTTACCAATATAGTGATCTTGATGCAATTTCTGGTTTCCGAAAATCATAGCAGCTTGGCTTGTTCGCTCCCTCAAAATTTTCCCTTCCTCGGACACCATTGCGTGTCTAAGAGCCATGGCAATACAATCCCTGTTAATTGACCCATCTTCACTTCTCTCAACTTCCACCCCTAAACCCTTCTCAACCAAGTACCTTGCATTCAACGGCTGATCAATATGGAATGGTAATAGAATAGGACAATGGCCATATTGCAAAGTTTCAATAATAGAACTTGAACCACAATGAAACAATGAGCCCCCAATTGATGGATGACTCAGAATTTCCAACTGTGGTGCCCATCCCATACAAACAATCCCTCTTTCAGAAGTTCTTGCACCAAATCCTGCAGGTAAAGCATCAACATCACCAATCGCCCAACTGGGTTTTCTTAGAGCCCATAGATATGGAACTCCTGATAACTCTATTCCGTTAGCAATCTCATATGCTTCATCTTTGCTTAGCTTATATTCACTACCAAAGCTTACAAACACAACTGACTTTGGCTTTTGCTCATCAAGCCACTTAAAGATTTCAATCCATGAGTCATCAGTGATGATCTCTCTTTGGGGATTCTCTGGAGGTAAAAAACCTACAGGCACCACAGGTTTTCCTACTAGCTTTTCGTATAAACTCAAGTACTCACCTTCAAACTCATTGCAACTACGTATAGCTACAGCTTCACATCCCAGAATAGTGTTTGCAACTCTTTCACCATCTGTTATCCCAGAGGCATTTGCTCCATAAACCCACTTAAAAGCATCAACAGCCTCGTGTTTTCGATAAGCAACCGATGAGGGAATGTCAACCCACTGTGGAGTTGATGTCATACTCATCCATGTTGGCCTGAGTCTTTTTTGACCATCCCCAACCAAGCAGTCCGGGTAAGCCAGAAAAGTATAGGCAAAAGCATAGAAAACAGAGAAATGCATGACAGGGACTTTGTTTTCTCTTGCAATTTCCACCATCCAGTGAGGAACCATGTCCATGATTATCCAATCAGGATGTTGATCAGCAACAAACTGCTTCAAGGGGCGTTGCAGGAGATCATATGCAATCTTCAGGCACTCGATTTTCTCCCCGGGAATATCAACTGTAGCCTCTGCAGCTTCTGGCAAGATATCATTTTCTAAGCTCGGTAATGGAATGGCAACTAAGTTCACTAGCTGTGCTAAATTTGGAGGGATTTTAGGGAGTCTTTTGATGTTTCTTGGGGTTGAAACAAAGGAGATTTTAACTCCGGCTTTGGATAATGCTATAGTAAGATGAAAGAATGGCAGCATGTGGCCAAAGGCAAGCCAAGGAAGCATCACTACATGGAGATGATCCCTTGCCATTTGTTCCTCTTCGGATTTCATGGGGCTCGACTCAAAAGTATCTCTCAACTTTGGATTCGTACTTGATTATTTTATAGGACTATTCTAATTTTAAAACGTGGTGTAGTAGTTAATTAAAGAGATTCATTTCTTTTCTTAATTTTTTTACTTTAAATTTTAAAGATAGTATTCAGAAAATTTTAATTTATTAAATTAATTTTTTTAAAGGTTGATATCATATTGATATAAAAATAGATCTTTAATACAATTCGGGGAAAAAATTTTAATCTAATAGACACACAAACGAATTTTATTGTCAAATTAAAAAAGAAAAAAAATCCAACATAAAGTTATACGAAATTATCTTTACAATAAAAAGTAAAAATAACGAAGTAGAACGGCAACAAAACCTAAAGTTGGAGTTAATGCACATGTCAATATAGAAATCCAGAAGCTATAATTGAATAAACTCGACAAATCATAAAATAAAGTCGTCGTATTCAATGGACTTAGGCATAAAAATCTCAATAATGAACGGTATGCACAAATAAAAATTGATGTGCATTGAAATACTGGCATGTCCAGATAGGTTGCGTGCAAATTTCCACCTGTATTATGATATGCCAAGCTTTTTCTTGTGCCGCTTGAAGCTGTAAATCAATAAAACAGGGGCGGAAAAAGATTGATCGACAATATGTTGTCAATGAATAGTTTTAACAACAAGGCGTGACAAGCTGCTGAAATTGGAAGAAATTATTCTTAATAAGAAATTCACGCATCTGATGGAAAATAGATGAGAGTCTACGGCTCTTATGGCGGCTTCCACTCTGCTTTTATATTTTTTCTGTGTCTTTTATCTAGAGGGCAATATCAGTTACGTGAGAGTACTTGTGTTTGCATTCGGTCAAGGGAACTTTTAGACTTTTTCTTTTCTTTTCCTTTGGATAAATTTCAAAATTTGTCTCTTGAATTTTATATATTTTCTCAATTTCATTCAAAAGATGCCTTATCTAGTGGTCTCATGTACCAATAGTGGATCGCTAGTAACAAAACCTCTAAATCTCATAAGAGAAGAAGAATAAATTTAAACTGAAAAAATATGATAAACAATAATTTTTTTAAAAAATTAGCCATCACTGCCACTATCTTTCATACATTTTTTCACTAACATAGTATATCTATACTGACATATCATATCTATACTTTTTTTTTTTATCTAATTTCTATTAAAATGTTGGACAAAAGATCTAAAATAAATAAATTGAAATCTCATATGAATAGAATGGTAGCTTGAGTATATGATGATTTTGACACCTGACGTCACATATTAAAGATATTGTTTGATGGCAATATTAGATAAAAATGAGGACATGATAGTTGAAAGGATGAAAAGCGAAAGTTTTGACAAAAGAATAAGAAGAAAGAATCAAATTGATTTGAATCTTGAATTTTATTTAACTACAATATTGACAAAGAAAAAGATAATGTTGCTAAGTGGAAATTAAAGTTGGTAGGTTTTAAAGATTTCTTGACAAACTAATCCTCTCAAGTTTTATCACATTTGTTTTAATTAAAAAAATATTTTTTATTTTTTATTTTTGTTAATTGCAATTAGTTTTTTTTGGATGATATTGAGATATTTTATAAACATTAGGGATGAAATTAAAATTTATGCACCTAATGAAAATGTGGTGAGGAGGAAAATTGAAATAAGATTGAATGATGTGGGGGTGATCGGAATAAAAATTAAAAGTATGAGATTTGGTGGAACAAAATGAAAGATTTAGAGTCTAATTAAAATAAATAAAAAATTTTTAGATGAAAGTAAAAAAACACATAAATCTTATATAGACAATTGAAATTTACCTTTACATATATATATATATATATATATATATATATATATATATATATATATATATATGAAATTTTAGATGAAAGTGAAAAAACACATAAATCTTATAAAGACAAATTGAAATTTGCCTTTTATGAAATTTTAGATGGAAGTGAAAAAACATATAAATCTTGTAAATACAAATTGAAATTTATCATTTATGAAATTTTAGATGCAAGTGAAAAAACTCATAAATCTTGTAAAGAGAAATTGAAATTTACCTTTATATATATTACTAAAAAAACTAAAAGATCCGAGATTTTCACTATTCATTTATTGTAGCTTTTCATTTTTTTATTTTATTTTTAATGGTCGGAGTTCTTTGGAGAAGCGAGGCTCAGTCGGACTAGCAGACGAAGCCTAGGCGAGCTCGGCCTCGGCTCATAAGCTCGCACAAACAACCTAGTTTGCCTTTTTTTTTTTTTCCTTCTAATAATTTATTTTTATTACTCCATATATAATCACGCAATGTTACTTTTAATTATGAAACTTTGCCTTTTATTTTATCCGGAACATTTCATTGTATACTAATAAAACATAAAGGGAAATAGAATTTTCGTTTTTTTTTTTTTAAAAAAAGAGAGTGGGTGTTGCTAGGAGGAAAGGAATAATGGTTTGTTAAAATGTGGCATTTAATTAGATTTTTTTTTGTTCATATTTGATATGTAAGAATCTCCGATTTGAATATTGTTTTTTTTTACCCATTCTCTAAATTTTTTTATTCTTGAAAAGAAAAAATGAATATGCATATGGGTTTATTATATCCATTGGCAAACTCATTGATAAATAAATGGTGTCTTTTCAATTCACATATATTTATAGAAATTCCATCATATTTATGTTTAAATTATCTTTATGACTTAAACTAATTAAGTGAAGATATATAATTTATTTATCAAAAAAATTTAATATATAATTCTAGACTTAATGAATTTTTGCGTTATCATATGAATAAAAAACTCTTAATTGTACAAAAAAAAATGATATTATATTTCAAGAGATGCCATTTGCATTGTTCACATATCTCTTACCTATATATATATATATCCTCATATTTTAAAAAATATTTTGACATCTCCTTTTTTTAACTTAATCCATTTTTGTATAACATTTTTTTCAAAATATATTTTTTGTTCCTTATATTTTTAAACGATGTTTTTAATATCTTATGTTTTTAAATTCTAGAACAAACACATATATCATATTATATTTTTTTATTGATTGAAATTAATTTCTTAAATTTTTCATTTATTATAAAAATTCTTATAAAATTAATTTTTTTTTATGTTTTATGAAATTTTATTTGTCAATAAATATGATTTATTTTTCTCTCGTATATGAATTTTTAATAGTTTTTTTAATAAGTAATAGAATTCACGTGTTTCTTTATATTATTCTTGATATAATTGTTTTTTTGGAATAAAATTTTAAATTATTTTTATGCACTCTATTAACTTTAATATACTCCTTATAACTTAAATTTTTTTAAACATATTTTTTAATTTGTACGAGTATGATAATGATGTATACCAAAAAATAGTGAGATCATTGATTTTATTAAAAATTAATTATGCATATACACATATAACACAAACTATTTTCTATTAATTATTTTTATATTCTAAATTTAATTTATTTTAAATAAAATAATAATTAAAAAGAATTAAAAAATAATTCAAATACAAAATTTAATTTGTACGAGTGTGTGTGTGTGTCTATATATCAAATGTACATATTTTTAAAAAGTTTAAAAAGATTCATTAGTTAATTTTTATATAAATTTTAACATTGATTATTGATATATTTCTCCAATGTAGTCTATAAAAAAATATTGAGATATTTTTAAAATTTTATATTTATTTTATTGTAAGTTTTTATTTAAGAACAAATGAATAAAAAAAATGAATCCCGATTTTTTAACAATAGACATTTTTTAAAATTTGAAACTTATAATTTAATTTACAATTTAAGAATCACTTTCATCATAAATTAAGAACGAATGAATGTATATGTATATATGTATGTATGTATGTATGTATATGTATGTGTGTGTGTGTGTGTGTGTGTGTGTGTGTGTGTGTATATATATATATATATCATTAGTTTTGTTGGAAATTAACGTGTATCCGCATATATAACATCAATTAATTATTATTATTTTTTATGTTCTAAAATCAATATTTTTTAAATAAAATAATTAGAATAGATATCATTAGTTTTGTTACAAATCAATTATGTATCCGCACATATAACACCAATTATTTGTTATTTAAACCTTTTTATATTTTAAAATCAATATTTTTTAAATAAAATAATTGAAATACTTGCTTTGAAAGAACCTTTCAATTATTCAAATATAAATTTTTATGCTAATATTATTGATTATTTTATTAATCAATATATTTTCTCCATAAATAAATTTTATTTACATTAATTATGAGAAATAAGATTTTTATTCGCACTACACAATACGAATCATTTACTTTACATATATAATGATTGTTGACCACACCGTAGCGTGGGTATCCAACTAGTGTACTAACTAAAATAACTAGAACTCCAAAACCATATCATGGAGTCGTGGGAAGCAAGGACCGAGAAGTTGCCCCTACTATTACAGGTATATGGGTAGGAACTATGAAGTTGCCCATTGCCTAAAGCCCTTTCCTCCCTTTCCTTTTTCTCTCTTTATCGGTACAAGTATAATAGCACTAGGGAGAGA